CTATATTTCTGCGATGGTCAGGTGTCAGTCAACACAGTTAAAGTTACACTGTCAGCTGTGATTATTCTTGGAGATGTCTGATCTGGCCACGGGAAAGCATGTCTTAATGATAGTCTTCTTTAGATAGAGTATCCAGTTTTCACCAGGCGGGAGATGATCAATCCTATAGTTTTGGTGAAGGCATCTCCAGGCAAGAAGAAGGTCTGTGTCAAAACTGCCAATTCAGCCTAGGAGATCAGTAGTTTGCTACAGTTTTCAAGGCTCAATCAATTTCTTGCTGCAACTTGCAAAGGTTTTCCAATGAGTCTGTGGATTCTTGATGTGAGCAGAACACTTTTCCAAACAGAAAATATGGTCTCCTCTCTCTCTCTCACACACACACACACACACACACATTCAAATGGCAAGATATAAGCAATTGCGGTTGGTTCTTAATTGATCAAATATAATGATTCACACCTAAAAAAATAAGCATCCCTACACTTCAGGTTTTGACCCAGAATTCATAGTATCACAGGGTTTGATAGAGGATCAAGTCCAATTCCTACTCAGATCCTGGGACAATTCTGAACTGGCAATGCTGCCTTTAGTTTATTGTAAAATACATTCGACATGATGCTATTTTTTGAGACTATCCAGAAATCTTCATGAGGTCCAATGCTGCAGCCAAATTGTGGATTTCACAGTCATTTGTCCAATAATTCAAAACAGTGATTAGGTGCTATTAAACTCTATACAACTTGGATTCATCCATGTATGTATGTATAGGAATGATCCAAACTGGGTTTTAAGATCCTCAAAGGAGGCCCTTCCCTTGTTTTTGACATGCTCACTGGAACATGTAATGAGAATGTATGAGAGAGAGCTTTCTAGGTCACTACTCCCAGATTGTAGACTTTTGTCCTCTTCCTGTTGCCTTTCTGCAGACACGTAACAAATGTTTTTAACTTTGGTGGGGATTCTAACTCATATGCAGATGACACCATGCTAACAACAAAAAATAGCAAAGACTTGGAATGATTACTGAAGATAGTCAAAGGAAGAAAGTGCAAAGACAAGTTTGCAGCTGAATGTTAAGAAAACAAAAATACATAATATCCAGCGATGATTTACATAACATTAAAGTAGATGAAGACATGGAAATTATTCAAGATTTCCTTACTTTGGCTCAGTCGCTAATCAGAATGGGGACTGCAGTCAAGAAATCAGAAGAAGACTTGGAAGGGCAGCTGTGAAAGAACTAGACAAGATTCTGAAATTTATTTGCCATATTTGTATCCCACCCTTCTCAATCCTGAAGGGGACTCAAAGATATGTAATGGATATCAGTCTATCCACACCACCGTATTTTTAATTTCTATGTAAGTTGTGAAAGCTGGACAGTGAAGAAAGCTGATAGGGAGAAAATGGACTCATTTGAAATATGGTGACACAGAAGAGGTCTCCAGGTACCACTGATCATTAAAAATAAAGGTCTTAAGCAAATCAGTCCTCTAGAAGCCAAGATGACTACACTGAGACTGATACGCTTTGGTTATATCATAAGAAGGGAAAACTTCCTAGAAAAGACAATAATGCTTAATAAGTTAGAAGTCAGAAGGAAAAGAGGAAGGCTACATTTCAGATGTACTGACTCAATCAGGGAAGCCACAGCCCTAAGTCTGTAAGACCTGAGAAAGGGGCTGTGGATGACAGGGTCACGTGGAGATCTCTCATTGACATTGTAGGGAATTTGCTGCTGGTGATTAACCGGCTGGTGTGATCTATAGTTGCTGCTGCTTAACCCTAAAGAAGCCAGCTACATTCAGCACTTTCAGAACTACGTGTCGTGTCACTTTAGTACAGGGGTCCTCAAAATAAGGCCCGGGGGCCGGATGTGGCCCTCCAAGGTCATTTACCTGGCCCTTGCTCAGGGTCAACCTTAATCTGAAACAACTTGAAAGCACACAAAAACAACAACAATCCTATCTCATCAGCCAAAAGTAGGCCTACACTTCCCATTGAAATAATATTAAGTTTATATTTGTTAAAATTGTTCCTCATTTTAATTATTGTATTGTTTTTAAATGTCTTTTGCACTACAAATAAGATATGTGCAATGTGCATAGGAATTCATTCATATTTTTTTTCAAATTATAATCTGGCCCTCTGTTTAAAAAGTTTGAGGACTCCTGCTTTAGTATGTTGAATGCAGTGTGTAGGCATGTTGCACAAACTTAATGAGAAACGACAAAAATCTTGGAAATGTATGTTATTATCTTACAAATAATATATTTTAAAAATGTAAATGGAAGGTTTTCCATATGTTATACCCCATACATTTTGTTATTACATATGTATCTATCTCTTACAAGGAGCTGGTTTACTATGAGAGTTATCTGGAAAATAAGTTTACAAGGCACATAGCTCTCATGGGGAATTTTCACAGGGGAAAGCTAGTATCACTGTTGTGTAGTGGGAAGCCAGTGAAAGTGGACGAGCAGTGTCAGTAGCTCATTGACTGGCATTGTGGTGAAGGTTAGAGATGAGCACCCTCATTCTTTTTCCCTCCAAGTGCAAAGTTCATTCTGTGATACGCTACCTAAATGCTAAGGGCATGAATGCCACTGCAATTCATCATGAAATCATTTCAATTTATGGAGAGGATGTAATGTTAAGACAGCAGGTAACAAAATGGACACGGAATATATGGTGAAATCATGAAGAAACTTTGCAAAGCCATCCAAAACAAATTTCATGGTATGCTGATGGCAGGAGTCTCCTTCATGACAATGCACATCTGCACACCGCTCATGCAACACAAGAGTTGTTGACTTCATTTGGTTGGGATGTTTTAAGCCATCCCTGTCACAGTCCTGATCTCACCCAGTGACTATCATCTGTTCACTAAATTGAAGGAACAACTTGGTGGAAAACATTTTTCTGACAACGACAAGGTAAAAATCGAAGTGACAAACTGGCTGAAAAAGGCGGATGGAAACTAATGACACAGGCATCAAAAATTTGTCACACTTACGACAAAATGTATTGAACTGAATGGTGATTATGTGAAAAATAATGTAATACCTATGCTACAATCCATGTAAGTTTTATTAAAATACATTCATTCTTTGTATTTTTTTTAAATCTGGTAATCTTACTTTCCAGATAATCCTCATACTTTAGGTCAATTATCATTTTTATGTAATGATTTGTTTAGTTATGTTTAACACACTTTTGGACAAGTCTGTATTTTGTCCATGTTGTGAGCTGCCTTAGCCCCCAGAACTGAAAAAAAGTTAGGAAAGAAATATCTAACAAAATACAGCAGAAAGACATGGACGAACTCCAAGACGTTTGGGGAGAAACCAGATATGCATTTGGAAGGTGGGCTGAACACTTGAATTTTTAAATCGAGGTGACAGGCCTGGCCCAGTTTAGTTCCTGCCGCTTTCAGATCAGATGCACCTAATCAGCAAAATTCCACAAAGAAAGGATTGCATTCATTCTGAGTTTTCAGGTTTTTTTAAAAAAAATGTTGACCACTGATATTCTACAGATGCAGACCAGTATTAGCCAGCACACTTGGTCCAGAAATATACACATATTTGTTTCTCCTGTGTAAAATAAAACATCATCTTTCTAACCACACCCATAGGCCTGTGATCTAGTAACCCTGTTTTCAAAAGAAATAGATAGGTACAGATAGATCATATTGAGGGCATGAATAGTAATTGAGGCCCACAGAATTTAGGAACTGAAGGGACACATTGGAGGTGTCTAGATTTTTTTAATTTGGTTTGTGTAGGTTACAGTTTTGATAAACTGCCATTCTTGAGTAAGCGGAGGCGACTAAAGAAGCTGGGCATGTTAGCTTGCAGAAGAGAAGGAAGAAGGGGGGGGAGAGGGGGTTTCACCTGCAGAAGAGAAGGCTGTGTCCAGTTCTGGGCACCACAAATGAAGGGAGATGTTGACAAGCTGGAATGTGTCCAGAGGAAGAGGGTGACTCAAATGATCAAGGGTTTGGAGAACAATCCCTGTGAGGAGTGGCTTAAAGAGCTGGGCATGTTTAGCCTGCAGAAGAGAAGGCTGTGTCCAATTCTGGGCACCACAAATGAAGGGAGATGTTGACAAGCTGGAATGTGTCCAGAGGAAGAGGGTGACTCAAATGATCAAGGGTTTGGAGAACAATCCCTATGAGGAGTGGCTTAAAGAGCTGGGCATGTTTAACCTGCAGAAGAGAAGACTGTGTCCAGTTCTGAGCACCACAAATGAAGGGAGATGTTGACAAGCTGGAATGTGTCCAGAGGAAGAGGATGACTCAGATGATCAAGGGTCTGGAGAACAATCCCTGTGAGGAGTGGCTTAAAGAGCTGGGCATGTTTAGCCTGCAGAAGAGAAGACTGAGAGGAAACATGATAGCCATGTATAAATATGTGAGGGGGAATCATAGGGAGAAGGGAGAAAGCCTGTTTTCTGCTGCCCTGGAGACTAGGACGCGGAGCAATGGCTTCAAACAACATGAAAAGAGATTCCAACGTGAAAAGAGGAGTTTCCCCACCTGACACTACTTAGAGCTGTTCAGCAATGGAACTCTCTGCCCCAGAGTGTGGAGGCTCCTTCTTTGGAAGCTTTTAAACAGAGGCTGGATGGCCATCTGTTGGGGTGCTTTGAACATGATTTTCCTACTTCTCGGCAGGGGGTTGGACTGGATGGCCCACGAGATCTCTTCCAACTCTATGATTCTATGATACTTTAACTTTTATTATTAATACCTGCTTTTGGTTTTTTTCCCCATCTCCATTACAACTGCTGGTTGGTTAATGTTTTCTCTTTTGTTGTTATTGTTGTTGTGTGCCTACAATGAGTTTCCATACCAAGGGCAAATTCAAAACCTTGTTCACCACTTGAACCACTACACATTGACTTTTTCTTCTCTTTCATATACAAATTGACTTAGTCTCTTATAACTATTCAATGCCATTGAAATATATATATATGTAATGTATTTCTCCTTTCAGTGGGCTGTTTATTACCATTCATGACAAAGGACATATTGCAACGATGCTGAATTCATGGCCGGAAGAAAACATAAAGGTAATGGATAATTTCATTGAATTTTAATGGAACAGAAACAGTGAGTTTATTTATTTATTTGCGACATTTATATGCTGCCCTTCTCACCCTGAAGGGGACTCAGAGCAGCTTACAAGATATATATACATAAAATATATTATATTATTAGCATAGTACAGTATCAGTATTAAATATTACTATATTGTACTATACCATTATATTGTAATATTATTAGTAATATTACATGTAATATAAATATATAATTATAATATCATATTAGTAGTAGTAGTAGTATATTTCATTACATTATAGTATTATAAATATTTAAAATGTTAGATGTCGAACATATTCCATGTGCAAAAAACAGGACGTGACTGGGACTTTGGCTTATTATACTGAAAGTTTGGCTTATTTGCTGCAGAATGATGTTTTATTGTCCACACTTAGTAATGGAACAACTGTAACATGTACAAGCTGAGATCCTTCATTCAGGAGACTCCTAAACAGTGGAACTCCTCGGTTATTGTAGGTTTTTTCGGGCTATATGGCCATATACTAGAGGCATTTTCTCCTGACGTTTCGCCTGCATCTATGGCAAGCATCCTCAGAGGTACTCCTTCCCAAAGGAGGCTCACTTTACTCTCTCCTTCCTTTCTTGTTTACCTTCATAATTAAAAACACCTTCAGCCTTTAACTGGTTGGGGTAGAAGAATGTGCAATGGGCGTGCTGATTTTTTATATTTGCAATACAAGTTGTGTATCCCTTATTCAGAAGTGTTCTGGATTTCAGGCTCTTTTGAGATTTCAGAATAACTGTATTTGTATACATAACACATACATAATGGGATGTCTTAGAGGTGAGACCCAAGTCTAACACAACATTCATTTTGCTTCATATATACCTTATACACACAGCCTGAAAGTAATTTTATACAATATTTTGTTAAATTTGTGTACATTGAACCATCGAAAAGCTAAGCTATCTCAGCTGCAAGTGAACCATCGAAAAGCTAAGCTATTACTATCTCAGCTGCAAGTGTGTACAGTTTTGGATTTTGGAATATTTTGAATTTCTAAATTCCAAAAAAGGGGTGCTCAATTTGCATGTAGTTAGGTGTTTTTAATTGGTTTTTTGAATGAATCTTTTAACTGAAAGATATTTATTTATTTATTTATTTATTTATTTACAGTATTTATATTCCGCCCTTCTCATCCCGCAGGGGACTCAAGGCGGATTACAATGTACACATACATGGTAAACATTCAATGCCATAGACACACAATATATAGACAGACACACAGAGGCTATTTAACATTCCAGTTTTTCATGAGGGTATTCTGGCCACCAGGGGAGCTGTCGCTTCACCATCCATTTGTGACACTGATGAAGTACTTCCTCATTCTTTACATGCTTACTGGAGATTTTTATGGCATAGTAAATTAGCTTCCCCACATAACCGGTACCTACATTTCCTACTTGACAGATGCAATTGTCTTTCAGGCTGCAAAGGTCGACAGCAAGCTACACAAATTGGTCGGAAACTCACTCCGACCCAGCCTGGCTCATGAGTCAGTAGTGATCTTAATGCAGCTGACTCCCAGCCTTAATGGAAAAGACCTTATGGGCCATCTAGTTCAACCACCTGCCATTCAGGAAAAGCACAAAGTATCCCAGACAGATGGCCATCCAGTCTCTGATTAAATTTGTTGGACTATGTACTCTTGGCAAAGTTTGTTTTCCAAACTTTGCCAAGAGTACATATATATATGTATATCTCTTCTTTCTGCATGTTTGGTCATCTGGTCAAGGAAGGCTTTATCCATCTGGCTTGGAGGCCTGTAGTAGACCCCTACAGCTATATCTTTTACAGTACTCGTTCCTTTAATTCTTATCTAGATGCTCTCAACCTGTTTTCCAGGACTGAAGTTTTGTATCTCTTCACATATGTAAATATTTTTGACATATATTACTCCACCCTCTCTTCAGTTTGGAATATTTCTCTGAAATAGGTATATCCCTCCATTGCTACATTCCAATTACTTGTCCCACCAGGTTTCAGTTATGCCTATTACACCGTAACTGTTTTGTCATGTTAAGAGTTCCAGCTCATCTTGTTTATTTCCCATATTCCGAGCATTTGTGTAAAGACATCTAAGCCCATGGGACATTCCCCCTATATGTTTATTTGAGATTATTATCCCATCACTGCTTGATATTTGTTGTGTTTGACCATCCTTCTTTAGCCTTTTGTCTGTTTACTCTAGACCTTGATAAACTACTGTTCCCAAGAATAATGTCACCCTCCCCTACAACTATTTTAGCTATTTTGTTTTAATTTACACCGTAAGCAGCTTAGGATCTCATGGGGAGAAAGCCAGGATAGATAAAGAAAAAAGGAGGTTCCACAACTGGCATGTTTATCAGAACATCCTGGGCTTTCTTGAATTCCGGGGAAATGAATCATGTATTTTTAAGAACTCTATAAGGCTGTGGAGTTCTTCAGAAATGAACTGTGATGCACACTCCTCCACCAACAAAAGAGTAGAAAATGGGGATCTATGCAACTTTTCATCCTTAATAGAATATTTTGCCAGCATGAGATAGTAGGAAAGTGGCTGTCTTGGAGTATTACTTAGCCATTTGGTTGGAAGAGACCTTATGGGTCATCCAGTCCAACGCCTTGCCAACAAGCAGGAAAATTGCATTCAAAGCACCCCTGACAGATGGCCATGCAGTCTCTGTTCAAAAGCCTCCAAAGAAGGAGACTCCATCACATTCCAGGGCAGAGAGTTCCACTGCTGAACAGCTCTCACAGTCAGGAAGGTCTTCCTAATGTTCAGATGGCATGTCCTTCTCCACATGTGATATTAAGGCAGTGCACCATCCCAGGTGAAATTGCTCTCTGCAGTTTTGGATTATATCATAGAATCATAGTTAGAAGAGACCACCAGGGCCATCCAGTCCAAGCTCATTCTGCCAAGCAGAAGTCACAAACGAAGTGCTCCCAACAAGGTGGTCATCGAATCTCTATTTAAAAACCTCCAGAAAAGGAGACTCCACCAGACTCCAAAATAGCATATTTCACTGAAAAGCTTTTATCATTGGGAAGTTCTTAATATTCAGGTGGAATCTCTTTTCCTTCAATTTAAATCCATTGCTCCATTGTGTCCTAGTCTCTGCAGTAGCAGAAAACAAGCTGGTTCCCCTCCTCAATATGACATCCTTCCAAATATGTAAACATTGCTCCCATGTCCCCTCTTAACTTTTCTAGAAAAGTAAGTGCACCCACGCTATCAATCTATTGGGTTCGGTAGGAACAACCATCATTTAATATGACTGCCAATCATTATCCTATGGAATTTCTTTGCATGAAAAAGATCCTTTTCAATATTTGCACATTTGAAGTTTTCCCAGTCAGATGGGAACTTTTAAGGAGCCTTAAGTAAATCAAGCTGAAAGCAATCATGTGGTTAGTTTGAGGCTTGATATTCCTAAAACAACAAATTCCATGGGAAGAACTCTGTGTATCGAATCAAATTTATTCTGGTTTTGTCAAAATGTGACATCAAAGTATGAGGTCCATTGTTTTCTTGCGTCTCAGATTTGCAAAATTCCAGGCTCATTTACTGTTACCATCCGGCCTTGGATTGCTATCAGGGACCAAAAGTCTAGTTCAAAAGTGCATTGAGGCAAACCAGGATAGAAATTGAGAGACCAGAGTAGTGTGAGATGGATGGATACCTCCAGGATGAGGATGATGAAGATGATGGCCATAGAATCATAGAGTTGGAAGAGACCTCAAGGGCGACCCAGTCCAACTCCTTGGTGGGCAGGAAAAAACAATCAGGGTACATCTACACTGTGAAATTAATGCAGCTTGACACCACTTTTGCTGCCATGGCTCAATGCTATGGAATTCAGGGTGTTGTCGTTTTACAAGGCGTTTGCCTTCTCTGCTAAAGAGTGCAGATGCCTCACCAAGCTACATATCCAGGGTTCTGTGTAGTTCACCCTTACAGTCAAGAACAGTGGTTCTCAACCTGTGGGTCCCCAGATGTTTTGACCTTCAACTCCCAGAAATCCTAACAGCTGGTAAACTGGGTTGATGTAAGTTTTTCAGGCTGTATGGCCATGTTCCAGAAGCATTCTCTCCTGATGTTTCACCTGCATCTATGGCAGGCATCCTCAGAAGTTGTGAGGTCTGTTGCAAACTAGGAAAATGGGGTTTATATATCTGTGGAATGTCCAGGGTAGGCATCTAGCCGGGGAGGGGGGGGGGGCTTGAGGGGCTTCAGCCCCCCCCCCCCCCGAAATTCTCATGGTGGTTCGCGAAAAGGACTTACTGGTGCATTATTTAAACTGTTATGTTATTCATATCATGATCTGATCACCATACTCAATATATCCCATATTCATGGGGGTATTGGGGTAACGATACAAAGGTTTGCTAGGGTAGACCCTCTTTCACTCAGACTCAGCCCCTCCCCCCGAAACAAACTCACCCCTCCCCCCCCCCACTGAATCGAAATCCTGACTACGGACCTGCCAGGGTGAGAGAAAGAACTCTTGTCTGTTGGAGGTAGATAGGTGTAAATGTTTCCATTGGCCACCCTGATTAGCATTTAATGGCCTAGCAGTATCAAGGTGTGGCTTCTCGCTGCCTGGGGGAATCCTTTGTTGAGAGGTGATTAACTGTCCCTGGTTGTTTCTTGTCTGGAGTTCCTCTGTTTTTGAGTGTTGTTCTTTATTTACTGTTATGATTTTAGAGTTTTTTTAAGACTGGTAGCCAGATTTTGTTCATTTTAATGGTTTCTTCCTTTCTGTTGAAATTGTCCACATGCTTGTTGATTTCAATGGCTTCTCTGTGTAGTCTGACATGGTTGTTGGAGTGGCCAGCATTTCTGTGTTCTCAAATAATATGCTGTGTCCAGGTTGGTTCATCAGGTGCTCTGCTATGGCTGACTTCTCAGGTTGAAGTAGTCTGCAGTGCCTTTCATGTTCCTTGATTCGTGTTTGGGCA